AAAATATTAAAATTTGGATCAATATTCTGAATAAAGATATAAGAGCTTTTATAGTTCAAAATGGAATTTTATCAGAACCTTTTACGTTCTTAAGAGGATGTCGTCAGGGAGACCCATATATTTTTATTCTCGTAGTAGAGATTTTAGCAATTTTGATAAAAAATAATAAAGATATAAAAGGTATTTTAATCCAAAATAAATAACATAAAATTTCACAATTTGAAGATGATACCACACTTTTCTTAGATGGTTCTAAACAATCCCTCTTTTCAGCTTTAAATTGTCTTGATTTTTTTTGGAAAATTGTCAGGTTTAAAAATCAATAGTTCCAAAACTAAAATCGTATGGATTGGCAACAAAAAATATAGCATACAGGTATATCATCATGATCGGTGGAAACTAGATTGGGGAAATATCACTTTCAATTTTCTAGGGCTTGAAATTTCCGTCGATCTACATGATATGATAGAATTAAATTTTAATAAGCAATTGATACGAATTAAAAAAAACACTTTCTCAATGGAAAAGAAGATATTTAACCCCTATTGATAAAATAACCGTTTTAAAATCTATTATTATAGCAAAATTAACACATCTATTTATCTCCCTTCCTAACCCATCAATTGATTTTATAAAACAACTTAATACTGAATTCTTTGCTTTTATTTGGAACTCAAAAATCGACAGAGTTAAACGCTCAGTCTTAATTACCTCTTATGATAATGGTGGTTTGAAAATGATAGAACTTGAATCTTTTATAAACTCTTTGAAAATAATTTGGATACGCCGAGCATATATCACTGAGCAGTCATGAACGAATATATTTAATGCAAATTTTGGTACAGATAGTTTAAATAATTTAGCTAATTTTGGAGATGCTTTTATCAATAAAATAAAGATTGAGTGTAAAAATAGTTTTTGGAAAGATGTATTAAATTCATACCAAATATTAATAAAGAAACTCGATATCTCCAATGTTTTAAAAATTCCCTTATGGTATAATAGTTCATTAAAAATTAATAGTAACCACATATTTTATCAATCATGGCACAAAAATGGGGTGACTTTTCTGGGCGATTTGTTTAATAAACAATGTGAATTCTTGTCAAAACAAGAACTAGAAATAAAATATACCTTGAAAATACAATCATTTTTGAAATACCATGGTCTGATATACTGTATAAAAAAATATTTTAAAACAAAAAATATCCAAAATACCATAAGTACATCACCAACTACACGTCCTTTTATTCCTATATACCAAGAACAAATTTTAAAAAACTCTTCAGGATGCAAAAATATATATAATCTGTTAACTAAATCAGAGGCCTGTCCAACTGCAATTTCTAAATGGAATTAAATTTTTGATAATTATGATATTGACTGGAAATTTACTTTTGGCAATCACTTCAATTTAATTCCAGATTCAAATTTACAATGGTTTCAGTTCAGATTGTTACACAGGATTCTACCAACAAAATCGTATCTAAAATTTTATTAAAATGTCGGAATTTAACACTTGTACTTTTTGTAAGACACATGTAGAAGATTATATACATCTTTTTATTTCTTGTACGTATGTTTCCTCACTATGGAAAGACTTATCAAACCTTCTCAAGGAAAATAATACTGATTTTGAATTTACAACTACTTTTATCTTATTTGGGATAAATAACCATACACATCAAATTCCTCTAAATATCATGATTTTACTATGTAAATATTTCATCTATAGATGCGCAAACAACGATAATCCACCCTCTTTTAGAAACCTAAGTACCTATTTACAAAAATATATATCTTAATATTACAGACAGGGTCCAAACTAAGTCAAACTACACATGCAATAGAATTTGTGTCGCTTCCAACCCCCTATGCAAACAAGAGGACCTTGCTCGTTTGAGATGACAAATCTTATACTACAAATTGCGTAAATGTCATTTATTCAAATTTAAGATAAATGACGATAACAATATGCAAATAAATTGTAATGCAATTTGAATATAACAAAAGAATTTAAAATATATACAAAGTCATCGAAAAGATGGGAGATAAAATTCCGCCAAAGTCATCACGTTAACGTGAAGACCCACCCATCCAAGGTCCGCAAAAACTCAAAACACACACGCGACACAGTTTGACCAAAACAGATCTTGACCCTAATGACCAGCTTCGCGCTGACGTCTTAAAGGATGCAATTATTCAAACCCATAAGTAGTAAATTATTTAAAACATCAATAACAAAATGTGTTAAAATCTAAATAAAATATTATAGCGACTAAACATATACCTACAACAATGTTAGCGGAACACCTTTGATCACTGGACCTCGATGCCACCCAGGAAAAACTGATATTTTACTCCGAAACCTGTGCTCATACGTAATGCAAAGAGACCCTACAAAGCTTGCGCTGAGCGAACGCATTGATACCAATTCCACATAACATTAACTGAATTGCATTACGCTACCTACATTTGTGGAACAAAGCTTTCCTTCAAAATGGAATATTGTGACTAACCTTCCGATCTGACGTAAAGCTTTGGAACTTATTGATACATTCACAAACTTAAAAACTATTAATATATTCAAAAGTTCAGGCTAACCCTGGCACTTGAGACTACAATGCAAAACTTATACACAAAGATTAGGAACACGAATATAATTTCGTACTGCTGATGAATTCCACCGGCCGAACCTACGAATGACGTCCTCTGAATGACCGTCAATAAATGCACTACTCGCGGCGCCAATTCTAAACGAATGCGATTTGTAAAGCTTAGGATTCAAATTCAAGAATTCTAAAATATTTTTCAGTTTTTTAGTTATGAAAGAATACGAAATTGGAGATCCATCCATTAATTGAAAAAGTGGGCCAGTTTCATGGGGACATAAAATTAAATAAGTAAACAGATAATTGGGCATAAACTTGAATCGCCAGACATTGCTGATATATGAATGCACACAGGAGATGTTGATTTTTTATGCTTAAAGTTACGTAAATTAAGTTTTAAACCAACCTGTATACTCAAATTGAACATCCGAGACTTGAATTACAAAGGATGGATCCTTGTTTGATTTCAAGCATATTTCACCCATACGAAGAAAGGCTGAAAAGAGAGAGAAGATAATTTATGCACATACCCTATAGCAGATGCTGATGGGAGCATACCCAGAATCAGATAAAAATGCCAAAAAATTTATTAAACAAATCTGAGTAATCGGCAACAGTGTAGGATAATTTCTATGATGACAAAATTGAGTAAATTTCAACCAATAATTTTTGTAAGATGTCAATGTCGACGGTGACATTGAAGATTCCAGGATTTTACAAACTACTCCATCTAAACCGACAAAAACTCCAATGGAATGGGAAAAGGATCCGAATCCAAATAAGGTGCTATTTCCCTGGCTTTCTGAAACATCAAACGAGATAAAGAGTCACTCAAAGTATTTATTGTCCCGGGGATGTGTTTTGATTTAAAAACAATATTATGAGTAAGGGTAGTAATAACTTATCTGCGAACGAGGCGCATCATTAGCGGACACTTAGAGGACATTTTATTTATGACAAACTTGGTGCTTTCGTTATCGGTTAGAAAAAGAATTTTGTGATTTTTCATTAATGCTCCCCACGTTTCCATAGCAACTATTATTGGAAACAGCTCGATGGCATTGATGTGCATAGATCTCAATTCATTGGACCAAGGAAAAGCGAACCATCGAGAACCGAAAACTGCCGCGAACCCTTTGGTCGACGCGGCGTCTGTATACAATTTGGTAGTATCTGAAGATAACCAATTGTCGTTCAGAAACATACATTTTCCGTTAAAATTGTCTATAAAAGTTAACCAAGCATGTAAGTCTAATCTTGCATCCTTATTCAGACGAATTTGATAATGAGGTTTTGATTTGATATACCTCTGGTCAAATCAATTAAACGCCTTAAAAACGCACGACCAGGAACCACAACAGACGCAGCAAAATTGAGGAGTCCTATTAGGCTTTGGAGTTCCCGGAGTGACACTTTTTCTGACTTTAAAACGTAATAACATTTCACGAATTTTAATTACCTTTTCAGGTGGGAGGCGACTTAACATTAAATCGGAATCTATTTCAATACCATAGATCGTAAGTCTCGTTGAGGGCCATACAGTTTTTTCAGGTTTAAGAGGCAGTCCAATAGATGCCGCAAGAGAGGAAAAGTTATTAAGGGACTGCAAACACAATTCTGATCCTGCTGGACCAGCTAGAAAGAAATCGTCTATCATATGGCTAACATGGGCACCATGTTTATTGGTCATAATCCAGTGCAAAGCGGAACTAAACCGTTCAAAGAACTGACAATTGTACTTAAACCCATGGGCAGACACATATCAAAATAATAGTTTAAATCTTTGCCATTTTGAATGGTGAAACCCAGTAACTTGTAATCGGAGGGATGAATTGGTATCTGACGATAGGCATCGAGAATATCGCTTTTGGCCATGAGACACCCTCGGCCCAACATTTTGACAATAGAAATAACTTCATCGATAGAATCGTATGCAACTTCCGTGAAGCATTTGTCTATGGAGGAATTAATCGAGTTACCATTCGGAAATGAAAGATCGTGAATGACTCTATAGGAGAGTTTTCCGTCTGCACTAGATGACTTCGGAACGAGACCAAGAGGTGAACAAATAATACTCTTAAAGGGAGGTGCTGAAAAGGGGCCCCTAATCCGACCAGCAAAATAGTTGATTTCTCTTGAAGAGAAACGATGCACCGATGTACACAATCAGCATTGTGGCCTTAGTAGAAGAATCCACAGAACACCGCCATATCTGCAACTGGATTTGCGCCCACATGACTTCAAGAGAATCCATGTTTCTGGTGGTATTTGGTATCTAACAAAACGGCGTGCAGTGTAGGCACCATGGATAAACATCCTCAAAAAGAGTACAGTGTGCATTCTCGGCACTATGGCTATCAAAAACCATCAAAAGGGTTCAGTGTGCATTCAGTGTGCATTCTCGGCACCATGGCTATAAAACGCCATCAAAAGAGTACAGTGTGCATTGTCGGCACCATGGCTATAAAGCGCAACCAAAAGAGTACAGTGTGCATTGTCGGCACCATGGCTATAAAACGCCATCCAAAGAGTACAGTGTGCATTGTCGGCACCATGGCTATAAAACGACATTAAAAGAGAACAGTGTGCATTGTCGGCACCATGGCTAAAAAAGGCCATCAAAGAGTACAGTGTGCATTGTCGGCACCATGGCTATAAAAAGCCATCAAAAGAGTGCAGTGTGCATTGTCGGCACCATGGCTATCAGAAGCCACCAAGGAAGTACAGTGTGCATTTTCGGCATCATGGCTCCAAAAAGCCACACAAGAAGTAAAGTGTGTATTGCTACATCGTCGGCACCATGGCTATACGAATCCATCCAAAGAGTTCAATGTGCGTTGTCGGCACCATGGCAAAGTGGATTGCCAAAACTAACACCGGGGGTGAAATAACAGACCAATGGAGGTCATAAGCAGTGGGAATGTGGAAAACCTAAACGAAGACAATCTCGGAAGCAAAAAGAGGTATAGGGCGAAACGATCCACCAACCTAACGTTGAAAGGACAACTCACCAAATTTTTAGTAAGTTAACCGGGAATTCGGGCTACTGACGAGGTCGGTACCGTCTAATAGCGTCACGCAAACTGCGAAAGTATCTCGGATACCCCTCTGAAATATTTAAATGGATGCCATCAGGACAGTATAGGTCCACATTTGGATTCCACAACCCAACTCGGTGTTCCACAAAAAATATTTTCATAGTTTCCTCTCGCTAACCTCTCGGAAATGGCAACGTTTGTGGCTATTACCCGATTATTATAATCAGAATCAGGCATATTACGCCTTGGAAAAAGCTGGCTGATGACCACACATTTAACTCCCCAACCATCTCTCAAGAACTGACCAAAAGACAGAATATCTCTGGCTAATATGACTGGGCTATAGCCGACATTACAGAGATCATTGGAACCGAGTTGCAATAGAACCAAATCGGATCCCTTCATGATGTCGTTATACTTGTAAAGACGGCCATGTTCGTCGTTACGTAATTTCAGACCGCTATAACCTTTCCAGTGCACATCAAAACTGTCTTCATCTAGAGAGAAATTATTTAGGAACATGTTCAAATCTATATAATGTGAAAACCGCTTGATGTGGCTGGTACCAAATATTCTGATACTCTGCTTTGTTGAACAAGCCATGCTGAAATGACCTGTAGCGAACTGTTTTTAGTTACCAACAAAACCACGTGTTGGCTTAGTGCCTAATTAAATTCAAATTATAAACTGGATTGCTATCTTAAGACTTAAGTTCTATGTGCAGTATGACACTCGATCATACATTCCATAAACTATCCTAGGAGAAATATAAATTAATTAAATTAATACAATCAAAATTCAAATTTCTTTAGGCCTTTGAAAAGTGGCTTGCTTCGACAAAGTCACGATTAAAAAGGCCTAATATGGGAAGTAACTCTGATATTCCTATAATTGAACACGGGGACGTAACTCAATAACGATAGTTTCCAGACTACACAAATGTTATTATATTCCATAATTATGTATTTATGAATATATGCAGATCCTTAAAGCCTTAATCGAGAAATAATATGAGCCTATATATTATATATTTACTTCTGTTTAATATTATTTGATTTTCAATTTATTATAATGAATTATTATAGTTTTATAAGTTATTATTTGATTTAAAATACATATATATATTAGCCAAGGCCTTATCCTTGGTATTGTCAATAATTAAAATGGGAAAATAAAATTGAAAAAAGAAAAAAAAAAAAGCTACGGATGGTCTTACGTTCGAAACAGACTAGTGTGGCTTGTTAGTATTCAGTATGCTAAGGATTTGCTGTGTGATAATTTGTTGAAATATTGGCTTTTACTATAAAGTCTCGTGAAACTAATTTAGAATTAAGGGTGATAAGATCAAAAAAAGTTTTCTAGTTTTCACCCAGGCCCGTGGCCCGAATGTAGTGTTCGAACGGGAGAGTAATATATCCGATGGTATGGGCAATGGTGTACGGTATTAAGTTTCAGTAATGAACTTGGTCGGTTGTCAGGAATTGTTCAGGGGGGAATCTTTTTTTTTTTTGGCCCCATGTAACTATGGGCCTGTTTCAACTAAATTCAATCGTTAGAGGGCTGAGTCAATACCACAGATGTAAGAATTGATAATAAAGTCGGCGCATGACTCGAAGCCCATTGCTGACGTCGTAACTCGAACTCGTCTCCATAATCACATCACATCCGTTCTTCATGATTTGCACTGAGTTCCAATAGCCCAATGTCAATTTAAATGTTATATATCGTTAAAAGATCCATCTGCTCCTTAATATCTCAAGGAACTAATAGCATTAACTCCGAAACGCCCGACAAGATTAAAAGATGAAAAAACAAAACGAGGGAGCTTTTATGTACAGTGCTTGGAATGAACTGCCAGGAAACATTATAATCATTAAAAATGTCGAATCATTCATTCATTATATTATTGTCCTTAATTTTTACACAGACTAACTTTTTAGTTCCAAATAATTCTGATAAAGTCAATATTCAGTTACTATTTCCATCCAGTAGAAAATTTTATTCGTAGTTCAGCATATGACAAAACACGGAAGAGGGTTTTAATGATCTCACATCTTGAGGAATTGTCCGAGAGATGAAATAAAAACCGAGGAGAAGTGTTTTATTTACTTACAATTTAATAACAAACAAAAAATATCCAACTTAATATACATTACAAATGAACATAGAACACCTCGCTCGAACACAACTTGCACCTGATAGTGTCCCCTGAAATTAACCAACGTAATCTTTATAATTTATAACCTGAAAGTCTAAGGTTCAATCCCGGCATAGGTCGAGATAATACCTATCTCCTAAGGTTCCCATTATACACCAACAAAGAAGTACTTGCACTAGAAAAGCCCAAATATATTCATTTCGATTCATTTTGATTCATTAACCGACCAAGACAGAATGTGTATCCATTTATCCCATTGAGTTTTATTATATTTTAAATTTCCAGACCTGTGATAACAATGTTTTAATAATGATGACATGTCTCTCATAATTCTTAACAGAATGGCAGATGAATAGTGTTGTGTTTTATTTGTATATATTTTTTTTATGTATAACTGGTGAGACTTTACTAAAATTACTTACTTACTTACTTACTAACATACCTTCGGTAAGAGGAGCTGACATGGGAATAGCGTCTTGTTTGCTAAATTTTTTCGGTCGTTCTTACTGTTGGTAGACAGTGGAAATGAAAATCTAACACAAAAATTTACTGAGCAAAACATTTTTAAACAAAAAAATCGAGTCAGAATAAAATAATTTAACTATAGAATTAAACAGTGTTGACAGATTAAACCAGTGTAATGTTCAATGATATTTAGATTGCTTCTAATATCAACTGTAAGACTAAGCTATGTAGTGATAGGATGCTAAGAGTTATCTCCCATTTAGTGTTAATATTATAAATCCACTAAAACATTTTGTGCAAATGATTGTATGAATGAAGTCCAGGCTATTTTTAGAAATCTTCTTTCTCTCTCCCTTTTGGGGCTTTTGCATGCTAATTTTCCGTCTAGATTTGGAATTTGATGTCTGAAATTGCATTATCTTTCAGATTTGGTGAGATGATGAGAGACCTAAAGGCGGAAGGTTAATTCTAAAAATAGCAGTTTTGTGAAGTGCCAAACTCATGCGGATGAGTATAACCTGTAGTAGTCTACTTTCAATTTTACTAGCTCAAAATTTTCATAGTCATCATATATTGAATTTTTTAGGAGACATTGAGAATTGGTCAGGCTTTCATTCGACATATTGGAAAGATTTCAATGAGATTTCTGGAAAAAGTTGTAGAAGGTTGAATTTCGTGTTTTAACATGGGAAGAGATAGCAAATGAATTTGTGGAGTGAGTCCATTATGTTGACCAACATGACTGACTGTTAAATAAACAAGCATTAATCAGAGGACATTATCTGTCTTTATTTATTAGGTTTATCAACCATCACATTGGCGACGAGGATAAACGTAAATCATAGAACATTTTCAATGTACTTTGTAATGCAGATGAAATTCAATTGTTGTGATTGGACTGTTGTGGATTTGAAAACTGACTAGTCTACACTCATATTATCCATCACACTAGCTGAACGAATGTCTCTGCCAAACTACCCACAGTTTGACTGTAAATCAGAAGGAAGAAGTGTTAGATGAGCTAAGTGTGTCTTCAGATGAAAGAACAATGTATTCGTGGCATATCAGATTGATGATGATCGTCGTCACTATTATTGACATATGCTGGTGATGATTTCAATGACATTGTAGATTCATTACCTGCTTACCCCTAGGTGATGATGAGACTCATCTTGGCAAATTAGAAGAAGCTGTAGGTAATCATTTCAACCCTCAGGCTAACATAGAGTTCCAGAAGTATTCGTTTCGACATCTCTATCAGAAGACTGACTCTATTGATGATTTCTATAACGATCTCAAACAAGTAGCTGCTACACGTGGTTTTGGAAACAGGGGAAATGAAGAGATAAAGTCACAGTAAATTACTGGATGCAAGTCAGAGAAAAGGGCCTCAGTACTCCAAATATATCTCTCCCTGATCTTCTTCAATTTGCAAGAACTCTTGAAATAACCAAAGCTCAGTCTAAGAAGATTGAAACTGATACAGGTTCTGGAGCGAGTGTAAACATATTACCAGAAGCAATCTATAACAGGGTACCGATGAAACCTCATTTATCCCGTTCTACAACTCGCATCTATTCATACGGTAAACAGAGTGTTGTGCCAGTAATTGTGACATTTAAAGCTGATTTATCGTCAGGCAATGCCAAGCTCCAGGTTATGTTCTACCAGGCAATGAAGAATTACTAGGATGGACCACTTCAGAAGACCTACAACTACTAGCAGTGGTGAATACAACACATCAAAACACCCTCACAGAAGAATATAAATATCTCTTCATTGGCCTTGGTAAGTTAAAGAACACCAAAGTTAAAGTCCATATTGACACCTTTCCCTTACATGTACGTAAGAACATTGAGGAACAGATAAAGAAAGATGAAATTGAGAAGGCTACATGAGCAACACCGTGTGTATCGCCGTTGGTTGTCGTTCCTATACCAAGCAGTGTAGGTCAACTGAGACTGTGTATTGACATGAGAGCTGCCAATCAAGCAATAAAACGCGAGAGACATACAACTCCTACCTTAGATGAACTAACATCTCTCTTAGCTAGTGCCAAGGCGTTTTCAAAGTTGGATTTGAACCAGGCTTACAATCAACTAGAGCTGATAGAAGATTCAAGATACATAACTACATTATTTTGCAACACACTTAGGTCTATATCGTTTCAAACGCCTCAACTTCGGTATCATCAGCGCAGCTGGGGTATTTCAAGAGACAATACGTCAAGCCCTAAATGGATTGAAAGGTGTCATTAACTCAAGCGATGATATCCTGATGCAAACCTCCGAGCCCTGTCTCAACGTCTACGAGAGAAAGGTTTCAATCATTTACTGCTGAACAAAGCCAGAGACTTTAAACTCAGTGAATAAATCATTTATTATACTTCTCTTATTTCTTATGTTGTGTTAAATTTGGAGAAATGTTTATTCAACAATTTATCTTTTCAGTTAGTATATTAATTTTCTAACTTTGTTGTATTTGTTATGTGAAATATTAACATCCAGTTGGGGAGGGATGCAATGTTCAATGATATTTAGATTGCTTGTAATATCAGCTGTTATATAGGATGCTAAGAGCTATTTCCCGTTTAGTGTTATTATCATGTTAACCGATTGCTGACTGTTAAATAAACAGGCATTAATCAGAGGACATATCTGTTTTTATTTATTATGTTTATCAACCATCACAACCAGGTAAACACAGATGGTACCTTCATTCAGTAACAATACCGTTACTGGTTGGTGGAGAAAGATATACTACAAGTTACACTGGGTAGGCTTCTTGAACGGATGACATATACTTACAGCTTAGAATTAAAAAGTAAAAAATATATATAATGTTTGTCAAGCGTCTCCCGGTCCTGAATGAGACCGCATGAACATTGTGTTTAATCTTCACGACCAACTCCCTAAATGAAGAACTTCATTATGCTTTGGAGTGATAAGGATTAATCTTGATGAAAACTGGATTGATGGTACTTTGTTACAATCTGTTATGTTGTACTCTACAAAATTATCTCTCGAAAATTGAATGTCTTTTTCAAATCAACACACCACCATTCTGCATAATTCGTCTTAGAGTGGAAACAATTGGTATCATCGTTTGGAAAAATACCATCAACTCCTCTGCAGGAATAATATGGAGCTCGCAGTAGACTACTCATCTCAGTTGGTTTGTGAAAAGAGATATCTCATCTATAAATAGAGTATAAAAATATTAATTTCAACGACTACCAAGCGATTACCAATCAACAAGAAATACCATGATCAGAGCGAGTTTGGAAGAATGAAGGAGATCGAGTAACTCACGCCACACCATCCAGGGCAGAGTTTCACCGCCATGTCATTCGACCCGACCAGATCTAACGAAGAATCAACAACCAAACCAACAACACAGAATCATCCAATTTGAACTGATCCAACCACCAACTACTATACGACTACCAACATAAAATATTGTCAATTTCAAACTTGACTAAGATCTTATCAAAATAATCATACCAAGTTTCACCAAGATGGATAAAAAAATTACATTATGTCTACAAGTCAATTTGACACCTCTAATGCACAATTGATTTTACAAAGTGAAACATCTACCATAAGCATTAGACGACATATCTCGTTTGCATTATCTACATTTCTTCACTGTAATATCTTTATTTAGGTCAATGTCTACTACTATCTGTAGTAAATATTGAATTTTTATTGTTAAATTGCCTTTATTTCTTCGAAACCAGTTCCATTTTAGACACTCAAAAAGGCACAAAAATTAACGCTTTCAAGCCGAAAATCATTGGATTTCTATTGATGTTCATGTTCTAAAAATGCAAAGTTATTTAAACACAGAAAAGTGTCTGGACCCGTTAACTGGAAATCTGCACAGTCTATATTGAAAAGGAAAAAAGGCGACTCAACATTAAGGTATGTTTAAATCAAAAAGCGATATATGTATTGCCATTTCTATCGCATTAGGTGTGTCTATGCCGATTCTCAGCTTACAACCTTTAGCACATGGCTATGAAAATAAAAGGGATTTTTCCACCAGCATGGGTGTAGCGTGACCATTTTGATTCGGGGAGGGGTGTAACGTTTAAGTTTTACCGACGAACACGTGGTCTTTTAAACGCTCCTTCAGAGAAAAAAATAACTAGCATTAAGTTATATATGCATACTTACATACCGTTTTAGCTTAATTCTTTATTATGTTTTAATGTTTATATAATTATTTCCACATCAACACGCTCATTGCTTGTGACGGCCACTGGAATGATTAACGTTTATTGGTAAGCTTTTTAAAGGCTTGGATGAAAACGTTGCTTCCAGAAGAGACACTTTGCAGCATTTCGCATATTCTTTGCACCACTCTTTCTAATGTCATTTCCCATCATTTCGATATCTGCCAGCAATGCATCGGGGTCTGTCAAGTCATTGGTAAATGTTGCACACAACTTGTTGCTTGGTACGATAAGCGCTTTGTCAATCACTCATTATAAGACTATGACGACAAATCTCTTGGATGTTGCAGGCTGATTTTAATTCAGTAATAACCTCCCGGCAGGTTGAGTAATTGGTGTTTCTAATGAATTATTGTGTATTCTGCTGGTAATTCTCTTATAATTTAGCTAATTATGAATTAATTATGGACATACGAGACAAACTGGTATTTTTCATAAGAACACCTCTACTTTCTATTTATGCATTTTCATTTTCATAAACGAAAATAAGAGAACCCATCTTTAAGTAGATTCTTTATCCTGAGTTATAAGTCTTGTGTTTTAGGGACAGGTTTTACTTTTCAGGGTTTGAGCACGACTATCTTGTAATGTGTTTTAGGAAGACTAACTTCAACTGATAGATTTTCTTCTATGGTGTAATGAAGAGTGATAATATATGCATAAAAGTATGACATATTGATCTTCGGGGCAGGGAGGGATTGATTCTATAGCAGCCATTCTATTACCTGTAATAATCTTAAATATCACGTAAATATTCTTCTTGTAGATACTCTGTACAGCAATTAAAGCCTAATAGATTTAATCAATTCGACAATATTCAAATAGATTGTGCCATAATCGACATGATATCTCTAAGAGAACAAATAACCGATGTAGATATGAACGAAATCATTAATGTGTAAAATAGTTAGTGTTTGTATAGTGCATAATAATGTTTTTTTCTCTTTGTGTTTTCGTTATTGTGTGTACCTGAGAATGTTACTTTTATCAATATACGTTAAAATATCGTTAAAAGACAGTGTGCACTAATTATTTTTTAAAAGTGAAGTGATTTTAAAAATTCAAATCTCATTATTTGTCTCTTTTTTTCCCAAATATTTGTTTATTTAATAGCCTATCAAAAGAATTTATTTACTTTAAATTGTATATTGGTATATTGGTATTTTACGGGTTTCTGAATTACTTATATTTTTAAAATAAATCGGATTAGTTTGCAACATTATGTTAATGGCTGACCCTACACTGTTATGTTCAGTTTTGTTTACATCCTCTTTAAACCCCGGAAATTGTCTTCATTTTTTAAAGGAATAATGATTACATTATAATACCATCTAAAGACATATTTAATTTACCAGACATACCTTTTGTCTTTTGTATAGAATATTATATGAAATAAATTAATTGGTCGAATATTAAGAATATTTTTGAATTTTTGTTGATGTGGTGATATTGTTTGATAGAATACAACATATATTCAACTTTCTTTTATATTAATATTAATTCTTTTGTTTGGATAATTTTTTAAACCAGTTGTTCTCAACCGTGTTTGGCTCGCGGTCACTTTTACAGTTTGGAAACGGCTCTACGGTCCCAAGACTCTACACCCCACCACCAGACTAAACAAAAAGATAGTTTGCATGACGATCTGGGACAAAATATTATCAATTTAGGAAATAATTAAAGTGTCTATAATTCAGTCCACTGTTCTATTAGTCAAACCCTCTAAATGCTTTATCTTTCATACCCTTGAAAATATAATGAACTGGTTGTGTTTATGTTTTGACGGTACCCGGATGAGCAAAAATATGATTATACGTCATAATACACCTGCTTTGTCTATGGGGTGTGCTTTTAGAGTTGTAACCTCTAAAAGTTAGGGTATCGTCACCTAAGTGCCCTAATTGGACCAGTTTCTCCTTTATTTTTTAACAATAACGTTCAAAACAATTGACATCCTTGCACCAAGTTTGAAAAAGAACTACCACAGGCAGACGGTAGGTGCCACAGAGCTGTGCTTTGCGGGGTAGTTAAGCAAACAATGGACCTTTACGTCATAATAGGGCACTTAAAGAGTTACAGCCTCTCCATGTTGGGACCTCACCATCCAAGTCAAATCGTATCAATCACCCTGTCGATAACCATTATTTCCGCCATTATTTATCAGGACAAATCATCATGGAATCTTCCTGTCGTCATAATCATTGGATCGTCAAACCTCAGCCAAATAACCAAGACTAGATATTCGTTCGTACCCAGGTACCCATATCCTCCACATCTGGTATATCATCAAAAGCTACGACCAAGTTTTCTCACATAATGTAGGCCTCAACAATCTTGACCAATCACTAAAAATCCCCCCTCAACCAGAAACTTATCTCAAATCCTTACTTCGACATTCAATCTTAGACCGCGGACTTAATTCTGCCAAACCCTAAAGAAACCAATCTTGAATATATACAGTCGTCTAGCGCACGATTCCAACGTAATCCTAGCTGCACATATTTCATCCGAAACTATCACCCACGGGGTGCTAGAACCATGTTTATTACATCCAGAAATACTGAAAAAGTTTGCAAGAACGAATAGCCAAATTTTTGAGCTATCGACCACGCATGAGAACTCTAATTTTACTAGAGTGGAGCGTGAATCTTAAACAAAGACTATATGGCTACCTATCTGCCAACCTTGATTGTCGCCAGAGACATATATATACTCTACCTGAGAATCCGGCCAAGGAGTGGCTTACCCCTAACAAGTCGCCCGATTATATCAGATTGTGTCAGTCATATGCGGTGTCAGTATACATTGACCACTTCTTACTACCATTAGCATGTCAACATCGAGCATACATCAACCTTTCTCACCCTTTTCAGCCCACCTCTGCACTACCAGAAGCCACTGACCCCTTTCAATAATCAAGTAAATAATTCTATTCACATTTATTGAATATCACTTTTTATTACAAATCAATATTGATATCTTCAGATTTTGATTTTGAGGTATTGTTCTTAGTGTGATCTCTGAGCTTGATGTTAACGAATCAAAGATTCAATGTCCGGTATCAGTCTAGTCAGCTTCAGACGCAGATCTCCACGTCTAGATATGACCAGAGATTCGCGGTTTTTGGACAAAATCCGAATTCTACTAGATAGGATGAAGGAATGGCACTAATAGTTCTTGCACACAGTTAGCTAGTCATGAAGCCACAACGTCCCGCACAGTGGATTGCATAAACCGACGAATCATTCCGGAGATCGTCTTAACACTCAACCCTGGTCAGAATCAATGGCACTCACTCTAAAACTACAAACCAATTAAAGCGACACGTTGGCAAGAAAAAGCACTATTCAGTATAGCAAAAAGACGCTTACTGACGCAATAATCAATAATTCGGGCTTCCCACTTCTATAGATAATTCCACATGATGTATACTCAGACTTTCCACAACACTCGAGATATCAGAACCAATGGTTGATTTGAACACAAAAAGCGAATCATATCAATTCAACCCTTTTCCGACCATTCACCCCGTTTCTTCACCCTTCAGACCTTTTTCATCCCTCGCCAAGGGGGGTGAATTTCAAGAACGAGTGGGGAGTACCGCTTAAGGACACGATTGATATAATCAATAAAATCAAAAGTCTTAGAGTTCCCTTGAATACAATCTAGATTTCCATCGATGTGTCGTCTATGTACACTGACTGAAATAGATAACACTGAAGGGTTAATAGTAGTTCTATGAGAATTTGGGCAAGCGTATTACCCCTTCATAGGCATAACATGGCCTAATTACACAAATAAAATTCAAAAATTTTTTTTTAACAAATAATGTGTAACAAAGTAGTGATGAAGTAGTAGTTTGCAAAAAATCAATTGGTTAAAAAGTCTCTTTAGATCATTCTGTAAAAATTATTACAGTTCTACAAAGAATGGGTTAGATTTTAACAACTAACTCTCTAAAATGAATATATTCATTATGCTGTGGACTGATAAAGATTAATCTCGATGAAAACTGTATTGATGGTATTTGGTTACAATCTGTTATGTTGTACTCTACCTGTCCAGTTAGTTGTTTATTTTTGAAGCAAAGTGATGTACTATTAAATGTTGTTTCGTCACACTTTCCACTGGTACTAATTCGTAATTCGAAGCCAATTATTCGATCAAAAATATCTACAAAATATATAAAGAAAAAAAAATACATAAGAAAAAAAATCAATAGCCTCTTTTTTGGAAAGAGAAATATAAATAATAGACATATTAAGTTACATCAAAATAAAAGCAAGACTGCTCGCTTCAGCCAATTTTGGCATAGTATGACAAAATTAGTCAATAATTATTCAATCTAAATCAAACTCAATCTGGATATCTATATTCAAACCTCTACCAAACTTACTTAATTGGTTGCAATTTAATTAAAACACGTATTTAAAAAAAAAAAACTTTCACTGGTTAATATATCTATTATACAAAATTATCTCTCTAAAATTGTATGTCTTCTTTAAATCAACACACCACCATTCTGTATAATTGTTCCAAGAGTGGAAACAATTGGTATCGTCGTTTGGAAAAATACCATCAACTCCTCTACAGGAATAATATGGAGCTCGCAGTAGACTACTCATCTCAGTTGGTTTGTGGAAAGCTACATTCGTTGATATCTCATCTATAAATAGAGTATAAAAATATTAATTTAATTTATATATCACCAGCCTTACATCTTATTCCGAGGATTGTAGAACATTAATACAGTAACATTCAGTTCAACATCAATATATCAATAAATATTCACCATAATGCAGGATAATCACCTGTTGTTGTCGTGTTTAAACACTCCAGTAATCGATCCTATGTCTAAAAGCAATTGAAATACCAGAACTTAAATGAAAACCTTATTATTCTTCTAATAAGCAGGCAAAAAGAACAACCGCTCCAAACAACCGATTCCAATTTCTCAATGAATTATTTGTTCTATCGTATTTGGCAGATACAAATCTTCCTTCGCTGAAATCTGTTGGATAACAAGACATGTCATTTCAATAAAGGGTAAAAAATAAGGTAATAGAGTACACAAACTATTCAAAAAAATACGTAGGAGAAACCAAGAATAAGTTGCGTAATGAATTGAAAAATGGCATTGACTTCACAAGTAAGCCATTAGAGTAGTATATGTCTTTTAGGATATGACGCATTTCACTTCTGCGCATGCGCAGCTTTTTCAATGCGAAAAGACACAACTGCTAAAATGTATTATAACAGACTCCCCAAACTGCTAAAATGTATTATAACAGACTCCCCAAACTGTTAAAATGTATTATAACAGACTCCTCAAACTGCTAAAAATGTATTATAACAGACTCAGCATTCTCCATATAAATTACCCAACCACACAAGATTCACTAAAATAATACAGAATAAAATAACCGCATTAAAAAATAAGATGTCTTTAATTTTAAAACACGAACAAAAACAAATTCGAAGGAGACGGTTTCTTCTCTGCGCTATCATCTCTCATCCCCAAAGTGGCCAACTTTGTCTCAAACAACAAATCCCTCATTTCCTCAGAAACGCAAGCTCTTGGATCTGTGGCAAAAGCAGGAGTAAATATAAGCGATGCAGTGAAAAAATCTGACGAACTTAAAGAACTGCAGTCATAATTTCTCTATAGTGTAACACAGTTATTAAGGATTAAACTATGGAACATTCATCAGGTACGTTATTATTTTTTGAAACAATAACATAAGTCTGTTTTTGATAGTCCTCAAATAGAAAAAACAGCAAAAGACAGTTTTAGATCAAATTCAAATGCCAGGACAAAAGCTGTGTGGACAGCTGTCGCTTTGGGTTTTATATCGGTTGAGTTTGGGAGAAAAGTTTGAAGAAATTATAATAAATTTAACTCAATAAAAATGGCAAACAAGTTTGGATTATGGTCTTTACCTCCAGAATCTAAAAATCCCATGGCGGCGTTTATAAACAAAGCGAAACCTTTTTTCGTGGATCAAATCGGAGACACCTTAAAGGGGATATCGATATGAACAATTTCAAAATAACTAATTTAAAGTTTCCAGGAAACGATAACGATGCCGTGAGCAAGAAATATTTACTGGATCAAATTCAAATAGATAAGGACCATGTTGAAAATAGAATAACTGACGTGAAAAGATACCTCAGACGAAATATTAAAAATCTTGTGGACGAACCCAAACTACAACAACGAGTTAACGACTTTGAAACGTCTTATTCAAGTGGATAAAACAAGTCAGTTGCAAAATTTAATATCTAAATTAGACGATAAGATTACGAAGGTAAAAATAAGACGTCCAACGTTTAATAGATAACCCAAATGTAAACGAGGATAGATTGAAACGAAAACTAACCGCTTTGGAAAGAAAACTTGGCGAATTGCTAGCAGAACTAGACAAGACCATGGAAAAACTGAGCTACAAAATTCAGTATCCAAATTGAACGAAAAGATCGCGAAGCAAAATCAGATGTTCAAAATATTATTAATAATCTCACACATCCTATTGACAAAGATACGTTGAAACGACAATTGACTGCTTTGGATACTAAAATCACGGACGAATTAGAAAAAAAAGTGGGTGTGATTAAAAACTTTCTTCAAAATATATTTCAAGATGATATCAAAAAATATATTAAAGAACAGGTCAATCTTTTGGTATCTAGAATTCATGACGATTTTTTGAGACAAGAGAGAAAGTTGACCAAATTAGAAGCTATTGTCACGGACATGTCGTAGTATTTCAATCTTCCATTCGAAAGTGACACTGTCTTCGAAGGAAAAGACCAAAGTTATAAATCAAACAAATATGGATGTAGAAATAAAAGTAGCTTCTCGCGTAGACGGAGAACCTAAAGACGTATTCGATATCGGCGAAACGGAAGCGTTTACTTTTCGAGGTAGATGTCTGATTGAAATAGATTTTCCCACGAAGGTTAAAGTCAATAAAATAGTCTTCAAACAAACCGGTAATGCCGTCAAACATCTTTCATTTTTCAATGATGGTAATTTGGAAGAGACTATACGTTTGATTGATAAAAGGGATGATTTATATGAAACGAAAAATGGTAAATATGTAGACACCTTTAAAATGGAAGTAGAAAATGATAGGGATATCATTGGAATCAAAGATTTAGATATGATATTGGAGACGGAAAATCCACCATCAACCAACATTGTCAAAATTCCACGACGCTTACACGTACACGGGCCAATAGAATCGAGCAATCACGAGTTTTTACGAACAACAGACTTTGAATACGTAAAACTGTATTTCGCTTTAGGTGAAAAATACACCTCGATCGATGTTCATAAAAGTCAACAAGAAAGTGAGTTTATAGTGCATTTATCGTTTGCCGAAGAACCCGACTCCATCTTTGAAGGTGGTGGTTTTATTTTTAGAGCCAAGATAAACATCGAAAAAGAAAAAATACAATATTCCTATCATCTTAACGAGAACCATACGAAAAAAAAAATGCCGTTAGTACGCGTAAATGTTTTTACTTTTAATACCCGCAAATATAATAATGCTAGGCCAAACAAGTACGCTCTATATGATATTCCGTGGTTGTATTTATCGGAAATTCACTTAATTTAACGACTTAAAAAATGGAACTCGAAAGCAGACAAGAATACATGATAGACAAACAAGAAAAGTTGAAAATAAAGTTAAGACAGTGCAATGCATGCAGGAAAACATGGAGTAGAATCGATTCTTTTTTCAAAACAGCGAGCACACTTCTAACGGTAGGAGTAACGGTGGCAACGGCCGTGACTGGTCGATTAATGATTCCGGTCATCGTCCCAACCGTATTGGCTGCATTAAGAGCCGTTCAAACGACCTCTTGCGGCCTCATCACTTTAGGTTTCACAAGCAAAAAGAAAGCTCATTATAAAAAAAAAACGGATATGTTGAATATGTTTCTTAATCAATTGTACACCTTTTTCGAAAGATCGAGAGAAGACAAGAACATGACAGTTGAAGAATAAGAAGAATTCAATGAAATTCTGGAAAAATTCCATACAGAAATATCGGCGGTCAAAATAAAGAAATAATATATACTTAAAAAAATATGAATAAAATTGCAGATGATGAAACATTGATAGAAAACGTTATCAAGGCTGTTTCCAATAAATTTAAAAAATTCCAAGGACAAATTAAAATAGATGGAGAGATAGTCGAGGAAGGGAATCACATACAATACATGTCACTTTCAATGCAAAAACCTTTCACAATATCTTTTCAAATATGGACATAAAATCTGATGCTTCCGATTGGTATTTTACAGGAAAAATAATTTTAATGAAAGAAATCAAAAGATCGAGAGTGTTGGCCGAGGAGGAACTGGTCTACTTAAAAAGATAAATGAATACGAAGGTGAAAATTGTTACATACCTACAGATGGTCACTGTTTTATCAAATTCGTCAATCGTGTTTTGAACAAAGATTTAAAGTGTAAATTTCAAGAATATATCAACGGGTTTTCAAAAGCAAATAGAAAAGGAGTGATGACATGTGCTAGAATGAAGGAATTCAACAAGAAATTTAACACTTCGTTTCAAATTTATAATCCCAAAAACAGACATTTACATCCCAGAGACGTACATGATGAATTAGATTGGGTTTTTTACTTACGCAACTCGCATTTCTGTCTGATTAGAAGAAGCCAAAAAAGTTTGGGAATTCAAGAAATAGAAGACAATTACGAACAGGTGTGGAAAACGTGTAGAGATGATAACGCAGTAACACAGGTTTCACCTCTCAAACTAAACGTGCTTTCAAGTATGAGTGATGATGCGTTATTCGCTTGGGATTGCGAAACGTATTCAGAAAAAGACACGCGAAGCGCAATTCCTTATGCCTGCACTTTAATTAATTTAGAAAAACTAAGAAAAACGTTAGAAAAAAATATATTTCCTACAGATAATGTAGTAGAAATATTTGTAGGTACAGATTGTATAGATCAAATGTTGAAATATTTAGGTCAATATGATAGAAAGAGATAAATATTAATTTCTCATAACGGTAGTGCTTAAAAATACAAAAAAAATAACACATTGCCCTTTAAAAACACCCAGAGAAATTCTATCTTTACCTTTATCTAATCCATACACAGATGAAGATTTACAGAAAAAAAGGAAAAGACAGAAATAAATAAAGTGTAATTATTTACAACATAATTTTCACATGTTCCTATCAACATGAAAAATCTAGTTTGGCTGCAAGGGGAAATTCGTCCAATCTTCCTGCGAATTTGAGAAAGATTGCCGACGTAGATATCGCTAAATACACCCAAGACAATTGGGAGGAATTGAGACACGAATGGGAACCTTACGCCAAGAGAGACACTCTCTGTTTGGGAGCTTGTTTGATAAAATACAACCAAGTCATGAAAGAAGTGGTAAACCAGAATATGTCCAATAATCTAACAGCTCCATCTTTATCTTTAAATGGTTGGTATTAGTTATATCATTACGATAAAGAAATGGTTTAAGAAGAATGGTATGAAACTACTAGAATGGTTGCGAAACATACTGAAAAAGAAAATATAGAAAAAGTTTATTCGCACACTAATCCTTTTATAATAAATTTTATCAGACGATCTATTAAAGGAGGAAGAGTTTCGGCAAATAGAAAATCATTTAAAACGAACAAAAAGGATGCAATTTGTAACGTATTAAAGGAGTTTATTTCACAAAGTGATAACATAATTGATTTATTCAAAGAATACAGCGCAAGCACAAAAGACAAAACGGAGGTTCATTCGAGATTTAAAAAAATAAAATTTACTAAACTAATGGCATTTGATGCTAACGGTTTATACGCTTCAGCAATGTCGGATTTAGACAGTGAATATCCGAGAGCAGAAACTGGAAGAATGTTTCTACCAAAAGAAGAAAAGGAATTTGTAAAACTCTTCAATAAACAAAAATTTAGACCTAGAACAGCTATTTTAACAGTGTGGTTTGACTGTCCCAAAAACATGTTCTTCCAACCGATACCAGCTAAAGATAAAATCACTTTCACGAATAAAGAAGGTAAAAAGGAAACTGGTAACAAAATCAGGTTCAGAAATGGTTTCTGTCACGACGTTTTAACATCGGTTGATATTTAAGAAATAGTTAAAGCCGGTGGACGAATTATTAGAATATTAGATGGTATAGTATACGAAGAAAATTTTAAAACTCCACCCTACAGAGATTATATTTTAATTTTGAGAGATCTAAGAAATAAATATAAACTAGAAGGTAATATTGTGGGTAGTAATTGCATGAAATTATTAGGTAATTCCTTGTATGGTAAATCAATTCAAAAAGATATATTCACAACTAGACATTTATGGAATGAAGCAACTTTACAGGCTAACTTTGATTCACATATTAAAACCTATGAGAAAATTATTGATACTCAATATATTGTTGAAACAGAAATTGAAGAAAAAGAGATTACTACCGAAGATAGTAAATCTACACGACTAACACCTAGTCATTTGGGATCATTCGCTTTATCTCACAGTAAAAAAATAATGAACAATTTCATTCACGTCATAGATGGATTTTATAAACCCGAAATATACTATACCGACACCGATAGTTTCATCCGACAATTGGAAAAAACTAAACAGAGCTGGTTTGGTCTCCGAAAAAGACTATTGCAAAGGTTAACACGATTACGGTGACGGTGGAATTATATTTGGTTTATATTTAGCACCAAAAGTCAAATACAACATCGTTTTGACTTTTGATGGTGTTTTAAAAGAAAAGAAAACATTTAAAGGTTATTCTGATGATAAGATAAGTGTAGAAGATTACATTCAGTTAGCAAGCGGACATGATGAGTCGAATGAATTGAAGAACCCATGGGAAAAAAGTTTTACCAATGGAGTAGTTATTCCAAATGATAAGCAAACGGAAGTTTTTAGAAGTTATTTGAATAATGTTAAAAGAAAACCAACAAACAGTGAAGGAATTATGTATCCGTACAACGACAAAGATGAGTTTAGTTTTGACGAAAACTATGAATTTGATAATTTCGATTTTCTTACTATTCAAGAAGAGAATGAAGATTGTTTTAAATGCCGTTGAATGACAATTTCTTCGTTGCCAAAGTCTATGAACCTGTTTTTACCGTCTTTGATTTCCAGATTTATATCTTTGATCATGAAAGAATTGACTGGTAAATAGGTCGTCTGAAACGGTTTCTCTATAATTCTGTATCCGATCGGCACCGTAAAAGTCGGTATGCTGTATATGATTTGGCGTTTGTGCTTGTTGAAAAATCCACCGTTGATCAAATTACAGTGAATGTTGATCACGTCGATGTCGTTCTCGATGTTGGCCTTGTGTGGCGCCAATGTCGATTGCGCGTATATTCGTTTATCGAACCCTAGTAACGCATTCAACGAATTTTCTACGCTGAAATCGACTTGACTGTTATTTCTCAAGATCAGTTTTATTTTATTCAGATTCAAATTACCTTCGATTCGATATTGTTTTTACTGCGTATTTCGATAGGTAATCGTTGATGGCTCCGTATTCGTAGCTTCCCGGTAGTAAGCTTATGGTTTTGAATGTAACTCCGTTATCCGTCGATATTTTTAGTTGATTGTTGTTTTCGTTGATATTTCTAATCGAATTGTAAACGGAGAAATACTTTAATCCCAGTTCGTACTGTTTATTGCGATCGAGTTCATACTCGTAGTCTAGAGACAATTTGATGTCAGATTTATTCGAGGTGATGACGAACAATTGTTCTTTATTGGACATTTTTAATGACGTTAATATAGTCTTTTTTAGTGATGATTTTTGTTCTCCAAAAGTCGTTTTAATATGCCATTGACTTCGTTGTATTGTCTGTCCGATCGATGACCTTCCTTCATGGCCGCTAATATTACTCGTAATCTATTAACTAGTTCCTCGTTTTTGTCGGATGAAAACGTTATACCTTGTCCAGATGCCACCATATCATCGAATTCGTCTATTTCTTGTATGATTGGATAATCTTCTGCATAATCATCTACATCCTCTTCCTCAATAACTTTTGTTATATATAAATCAACTTCTTTCAATCTTCTTGTTTCGGGTCCTGACTTTCTGATCGCATGTAGAAATTTTGAGTATGCTACTAAATCCTTGTAATCGGCAATTTCAACATCCGCGCCATTCATTAAATCTATTAATCCTCTCGTTAATGTAAATATAAAGTCTTTTGTGAGTAGTATATGTATTTTCGGATATGACGCATTTCACTTCTGCGCATGCGCAGCTTTTTCAATGCATCATATCCGAAAAGACACAACTGTTAAAATGTATTATAACAAACTCCTCCAAACTGTATTATAACAGACTCCATATAAATTACACAGACAAGAATCACTAATAATAATACAGTATAAAATAACCGCATTAAAAATGTCTTTAATTTTAAAACACGAAAAAAAAGAAATTCGAAGGAGACGGTTTCTTCTCTGCGCTAACATCTCTCATCCTCAAAGTGGCCAATTTTGTCTCAAACAACAAATCCCTCATTTCCTCAGGAGCATATAAGAGAAATGCGAAATAAAAGATTAGAAAACAAAAAAGGCAATGGTTTTAAAAATATTGGATAAAAATGTCAATGATAATTGCACAAAGCCCTAAAACGTATTTCGGTGCGGGAGACATTCAAAAGTCATTGGGTTCTCTTCCTGGATTCCCATGGGCAAAATATCCCGGAGAAAAACATCTCCCAGGGCACAATTATACAGGTCCAGGCACTAGGTTAGATCTGCGTTTAGACGAAAATGATAATCCCAAACCAGGGGAAGAACCCGTTAATAGAGTTGACGCAGCAGCGCTCAAACACGACATACTGTACAGAAATAAAGACGTAACATTCAGACACCAAGCAGACAAACAAATGATAGACGAACTCGAAAATATTCCCAATCCCACTTTCAAAGAGAAATTACAGAGGGCTCTTATCATAAAACTCTTGAAGGCAAAATTGAAATTGGGTATGGGCATAGCAGACGAGATTAACAAAGAATTTCGAAAAAACAAACATTACCTCAAAGTCAAAGTTTTTGATAAAGATGAAATTTGGTCAGCCGATTTAATCAACATGCCAGTCGAGAGGGTACAAGTATTGTTTGACGGTGATCGACTTATACACGAGATACGCTTGGGTCTTTCCCTTGAAAAACAAATCGGGTCTGACTGTCAAACAAGCATTCGAAACCATAATGAAACAATCCGACAGACGACCCCTAAAGTTGTGGGTTGATAAAGGAAGCGAATTCTACAACAGAAATGTGAAATCTCTGGGGTTTGAAATTTACAGCACGCATAACGAAGGTAAAGCCGTAGTGATAGAAAGATTCAACAGGACTCTTAAAAGCAAATTATTCAAGAAATTCACGGAATTGAAATCTCAAAAATGGCTTAAAATATTACCAGTTGTTGTCGACGAATACAATAACAAAATACATTCGTCTATAGGTGTGACGCCAACGCAAGCCTCTAATAACCCGAATATCATAAAGTCCGTCAACACTCAAAACAACTTTGAAAACGAGATTAGCAATTTGAATATTAAACCCAAATTCAAAGTTGGAGATTGAGTTCGTATTTTTAAATATAAATCATTGTTTCAGAAAGGTTACGTCGGCTATTGGACTAACGAGATATTCATCGTTGATAAAGTAAACAGTACAACACCTCCCACGTATGAATTGATCGATCAAGACAAAGAACAAATCATAGGAAGGTTTTATCAAAATGAACTTCAAAAAACTGACTTTTAAAAATGAATCTCGAAAATGAAGATTTAGATGAAAGGTTAAGAAATTTAGATGTCGACAAGCATTTACGCTCTCTTAAATTAAGATTTTTTAAATTTAAATGTAAATTTATCTTCAAAATATTATTGAATGTGTTTTATCAGAATGTTATACAAGTTTTTTCAAACACAAACTACGTATATATTTCGTCAATTGGGTCTTCAGCAATACTTTCCGCCTACTTCGAAAAACACCTAAAAAAATCAACTTAAAAAATGAATGCGTTTCTCGATAAATACGGAAAAGACACGACCACAAATTTTCAACTTGTGAAATGGGCCAAGGAGTTGAACGTCTCGCCGTTTTATTATTGCATGCGAGATGAAATTGATGAACTGAAATACAAGAAAGGTAAATTTTACGCCATCACAAACATTCACACGTCGGATCAAAAAGGAGTTCATCACTCTGCTTTACACAAAGATTCTTCGAAT